AAAAAAAGATTTTATTTATTTATTCATGAGAGACGCAGAGAGAGAGAGGGAGAGACATAGGCAGAGGGAGTTCAGGCTCCCCAGGGGGAGCCCGATGTGGGACTCGATTCCCGGACCCCTGGATCATGACCTGAGCCAAAGGCAGATGCTCAGCCACCTAGCCACCCAGGTTCTCCCTCATTTTTTTTTTAATGGCATTGTAATTGTCTTTATTTTTCTAGGCTGTTTGAAGTAATTTAATACAGTTGGATCCTGCAAAAGGTACATACCAAGGGAAACTCAGCAAGTGAGAGCTGACTGGCTAGAGGCACCACAGCACTCGCTCCTCACGCACAGCCAACATCTCAGAGCCACAGAGGTACTGCCAAAAAAAAGAGGCTTCATGCTCAGAGTTGACTTTGTTCAAACTACTCCACACCACGTATGGGGGCATGGGTGTCTATAAGCTGAGACAAACTATATAAACACTCATTTGCTTTTCTTTTTTGTATATCTCAAAGCATTTTCCCATCTAAGATGATGTTGGATCTTTCAGCAGCTTTGGGATAAAAGCAGGAGTGCATGGGTCTGACCAGACAGAAAAGGGAAGTGATACACAGAGAACATGCCTGAGGTCATAGAGCTACTTAACAAAGGTGAGGTTAGAACTCAGAGCTCCTTCCAAGTCCTGCATTCCTCCTAGAGGTCACACCAAAATTCAAACCATGTTAATAATAATAATGATAACAATAAAAACAGCCATTTTTAAGTATTTATGATGACTCCACTTAATGTATTACATTTATTATTTCATTTAACCTTCTAAGAACTCAAGGGATAGCTATCATTATGATCAATTTTATAGATGAGAAGAGGGCTTAGTAAATTAGGGAAAGAATTCATAGTCCCACAATTAGTGAGTGACAGATGAGGGCTTGAAGCCAGACCTATCTGTCCCCAAATTCCATGCTCCCAACCATTCTGTGGAGCTGGTTGTAGAATTCATTATGCTAGCTTCTGAGAACACAGCACCACTGGGCCCCCTGGGCCTTGGCTACACTGCTGTGTTCCAGATCCTGTTCAGAATATGCTCGACCCTCCTTAACAGTTCTTATCTAAAATTATTGAATATAGAATTTGTTTAAATAAGGATAAAATGTTCTTTGCTATGAAGTTATGTGTAAAAGATCTGACCTTCAAGGGAGGCCAGTTCTGTAGAAGTTGTGAGAAATGACCAAAATGAGAGAATGACAGCGTGAAGGGGAGACATGCATTTCCAAATGGCCCAGGATGAGGCTGCAATCTTTCAGCAGCAAAACCATTGTCGATGTTTCATTTATAAAATAACAGGGCTGTTTCTTAGGATTTCGTAAGGATGCAAGGAGCCCATCCATAGATAGATAGTACTTAGCATAGAGGCTGGCCCCAAATAAACATTTCATAAATGTTAGTTTAAAACATATGCTTTAACAAATTATTCCATATTCAAAGAAGGAAATAGACAATCCAGTTTCCTATGGGAGGGCCTGGGTCTGGGTCCAACCAGCCTTGGGCAACTCTTCCCCTCTCTGGGCCCCAGTTCTTTCATCTGTAAAATGAGGCAATTTTGAGCAAGTGCTCAGGTCTTATCTTATGGACAACGTAAATTGCAAAACAAACCATCAAGTTTCTCTTTTCCTGCTAACTACACGCACCAGTGTGTGAGCCTACTGCATGTAGCAAGCCCATTGCACTCAGTGACTTCTTTTGTATTATTTACAGTTCCTCTCCATCTCATACCCTTTTCCTTCTTTTAAAAATTTATTATTGAGGGGTACCTGGGTGGCTCAGTGGGTTTAGCCTATGACTCTTGATTTCAGCTCAGGTCATGACCTCTGGGTCCTGAGATTGAGCCCTGCCCCAGGCTCCATACTGAGCACGGATTGAATTTGGGATTCTCTCAATCCCTCTTCTTCTGCCCCTCCCCCTGCTTGTGCTCCTGTACTCTCTCCCTTTTTCTCTCTCTCAAATAAATAAATTAATTAAATCTTTAAAAAAAATTATTAGTGATTCTAGGGGCACTTGGGTTCCTCAGTCAGTTAAGTGTCTGATTCTTGATTTCAGCTCAGGTTTGATCTCAAGGCCGTGAGTTCCAGCCCCATGTGGGGGCTCCACACTGGGCCAGGAGCCTACTTTAAAAACAATTATTATTGATTCTAAAACATTTTAGCCATTATTATTAACATTAATATTTACGTTCTCTGTCTCCAGAACCAATCCTTATACCCATTCCAGATACCCTAAGTACTGGTTTCTATGAAGGAGAATCTGCGAATTTTAAATGGAGACTTGGATGTCCTAAGTGACCTGAGACTTTTCTAAAAACAAGGCAATGTTGCCACACATGAAACCACAGTGCGTGGGCCACAGCTTTACAAGTGGGAAAGCAATTTTTGCCTGATAGCTTCAGTCCTCTCATTGCTGATGGTGCAGCCGGGGGTTGGACACGAAGCATATCTGAAGGCAGTAGACAGATGGCTACACATTTCATTGGCAACATGTATACTAAGATTTTACTTTTGATTATTGATTCAACTCATATTTATCGAATTCTTATTAAGTACTAGTCTCTGAGGAGGCAATGAGAAGTAAGAAAGACACATCCCTCTCTCTTCAGTTTTATGCTCTAATGATGGTATGCAGGCAAGTATGTCCTCAGTGACAACACAGCACAGCAAGGTGGATGATAGAGGAAGCCCAGGGGGCTCTGGGGAGCTTAGGTGACTAACACTAGCCTAACATGTCTCTCCAGACATGGAGGGAGCTTGAAGGAACAGACAGGTAAGTGGACACCAGAGGGACAAATAGAGGTTAGGCAGCAAGCTGGGGGCAAGTGCAAAAGCGGGAGGGAAGGAGGATAGATCATTCCAAGCAAGAAGTCCAGCTTAGGTAAAGGCCAAATGCAAGAGGACACAGCAAATCTGGGACACTAAAAGATTGCTTTTAGCTAAAAGCATAGGGAGCTTGCTCACAGCAGAAGAGACTGGAGAGGTAGATGCTAGATCATGAAGACTCTTGTGGGCCATTAGTTAAGGAGTTTGGGCTCCATACTGAGAACAATAGAGAGCTAGTGAAGTGCTTTAAGTGTGTTAGGGGCATGCCCTTTAATTCATGTGATTTCCTACATGTAGAAGGATTTGGGAATGTATCCAACTTACTTCACTGTATAGATGGGGAAACAGGTGAAGTGACTTGCCTAGGATCACTTACTTGCAAAACTGGGACCAAAAGGCAAGCCTCTGGATTTCCAACACAGCGGTTTGAACGACACCATACTGCTTCCCCTTATAAGCAAATGGAAATCAGGGGTCATGGAATTATTCTTGCCTAACATCTAACCAAATATATATGCAGTAGTCTTTTTGTTTCTCTTAAGCAACTTGTTCTTGAAAGGTGAAAAGACAAGGAAGGAGTAGCAGGGGAAATGTGTCTTCCAGAAATCTACAACATCCAACATAGTATGTCCTCTAGAATGAAGATCCAATCTCTCTTGTTACATAATCACTGACACTCAAAAAACTAAGGGTCACAGTGGAAAATGAAAAATTAAACAAGGAAGGAAGGAAAAAAGGAAGGAAGGGGAAGGAAGGAGGAAGGAAGGAAGGAAGGAAGGAAGGAAGGACAGAATGAAAGCAAGCAAGCAAGCAAGCAAGAAAAGAGAGACTCAGTTCGGTTTTCAAAGCCGTCCTCCACAAACACCTCCACAGCTTTCTCACGGGGAAGAAATGTGTGTGTGTGTGTGTACATATATATAAGTCATCCTTTCTGAAATAGCAATTTAAATTGGAGTGAGTGATGTAACATCAAACCATAAAGGATCATGAATTCTGAGGGTTTGGGAAGTGGTGTGAGATCCATGAGGGCAAAGATTCCTCAAGTCCTTTGCCAGAGTCTCCAGGAATACGGCCCCTCTATAATTAGCCCCTAATAGGAATAGCTGAGTGATTAAGTATAAATTTGTGGGCCCTGGGCAAACACTCCAGAAAGCTTCCCTTGTAACAGGACTTGATTCTTTATATCTGTACACACTTTAAGACGTCTCGAATGCTTTCCAGCGTTTGCCCTGTGAAGTAGGAAGGGCAAGCATTATCCCTCACGTCATAGACACGGTGGCTTCTCAGGAACAGTGTTGAAGTGACTTGGGTAGGGGGTCTCAAGGTTGGATCTGAGGGCCCACGAGGCTGCAGCTCAGTGAGAACTGTTCCTTTGAACAGCCCTCAACGCAGAACAAGGCTTCCTGTTGCCATGTATTTTCCCTTTTGTCCATCAGGCAATTCTCCCTCAATGAAGTCGAGGCAGAGCCTCCTTAAGAGCTGGCCCCTTCCGGGGGTTGGCTCCAAGGAACGGAGAAGGTATTCCTGAGCAGAGGAGCGGCACTGGGGGCCAGAATCAATGGGTCCCCCAGCCTCAGCTGTATTTGCCATCACTTTGCCCTGTTTCGTTCCTTCTCGGAACTTCTTCCAGCTGTCAGTGCGTGTTAGCTAGGTTAATGTATGCCCCGTCTCTCCTGGTAGATAATAAGCTCCAAAAGGGCAGCACACCGGTGCATACTCAGCTTCTGGCACGGGGCTCGGAACAAAATAGCTGCTCAATAAACATTAGGTAGATAAACGAGCGCTTGGAAACAGAGAGCGAGATCGATGAGACCCGAGCGCAGCCCAGGGCTGCCCTCCCCCTCCGGCGGCAGGTGTGGCTCCCGGCGAGCGAGACCTGAGGGCAGGTGCCCCCTCCGTCCGGCACGCGGGCCGCGCGGCTGGCGGTCCCGGGGCAGGAGCCGCGGGGCAGGTCGGGGCGCCCCGGGAGCCCCTCGCCGCAGCCATTTCCTGCTCTTTGTGTGACGGCGGCGGCGGCGGCGGCGGCGGCGGAGGGCCGGCCCCGCGCGGGGGAGGAGCCGGGCGCGGGGCGCGGGGGCGGGGCGGGGCGGGGCGGGGCGGGGGCGGGCCCGGGCCCGGGGGCGGGGCCGAGCGCCGCGGCCGCGGGAGCCGAGCGGAGCCGGGCGGAGCGGGCAGAGCATCCTGCGCCCCGGCGCGGGGCCCCCGGTAGCCTCGGGCCGCTCGCCTGGACCTGCCGCCGACGCAGGTAAGCGGCGCGGCGCGGCGCGGCGCTCGCGGGCCTGGGCGCCGGCCTGGGCACCGGGATGCTGCGGGCGACGTCGGTGCGGCCGCGAGGATGCGCGGGGGGCCGGCGCCCCTCCACCCAGCCCGAGGGGGGGCGCTCGGCGCGGCGCCCCGGCTGGCGCGGCCTGGGGGGGCCCGGAGCCCCTGGGGCAGGGCTGCAGGCCCCGCGCGGCCCCTCCCGGCCCCGGCCCCGGCCCCGGCCCCTCCCGGGCCCCGCGGCGCGGACCCGGGGCGAGGAGGCGCGGACACGCGACGCAGCTCGGGCGCGGCGGCGGCGGCGGCGGCGGCGGCGGCGGCAGCAGCAGGTGCGCGGCCTGGGCCGAAGCCGCGGGCCGGAGACGGAGCGGCGCTGATCCCGGGCAGGGAGACACCTGCGGGGGCCGCGAGCCCAGCGGCGGCGACCCCCGGAGCCCAGGTACTGCGGAGCGCCGGCCGCCGCCTCTGCCGCCTCGGCCCATCCCCTCCTCCAGGGCCGGCGAGAGGCGCGTGGGCCCGCCTGGCGGCCGCCGGGGACAGCAGCGCGCGCCCTGCGCTGGACGCGACGAGGGTGGGGCGGGGGGGCCGCCGGTGGTTGGGGGTGGGGGGCTTTAGCGAGGCGGGAGGCGGGCGGGACCGCTTCGAAGCCTGCTGGCCTACGCTAGCATCCCTCTGCCTCCCCGCTGCCCGTGGGCGGGGGAGGACGGGGGAAGGGGAGGAGTGCGGGAAAGGTTGGATTTTTCTCGAGCCCTGAAGAAATCAGGAAGATCGCCTACCTGTCTGTTGTGGCTTCTGCTTTTCAGGACAGCCCGCCCCCTCGATGGATGGGTGAAAAGGAAGAGAAGGGAGGGCTCTCTGTTTAGAGGTGGGGGTGGGGACGGGGGCAGGAAGCATGGTCACGGTCAGACAGGAGGACGGTTCTCTGTACTGCGGAGACCCTGGCAGGAAAGGACCCTGGGACTGCCCTGGCCCTCCTCAGCTCCAGGAATCTGCCTTTGACCTCTGCTTGCCTGGTGTCTCCAGTTGAGCCGAAGCACTCACCTAGAGCTGATGGGCCATCTGCTCCCCTTCCAGCCAGGACAAGAAGGTGGCAAGGGTCTTTCCCAGCTAGCTCTCAGGTGCCTGTGCCTTCCTGGCATGGGTAAGGAGACTGGGGCAGTCCTGCGGGCATGAGGGACAAATCAGAGAGTGCTGGTTCTCATACTCCTCTTTTCTAACTCCTACCCGGGTCCCTCTTAGGGCAGGTTGTCTTATCTTACTTACCCTTAGGCACTGGCCCTGTGGGAGGCCATGCCAGTAACCCTGGAGATCACAGATGTTGGAGGGCAAAATTCTAGGTCCTTATCCCTGGGCAGGATTGCAGAGGCCTTGGAGGCAGTTTTCTCTGTGACTCTCCCTGAGGCCTCCCATCTCCAGCTCCAGCTCCATGTTCTGTGCTTCCCCTAGTCTCCTATGTCAAAAATTATTTTCAAGAAAGGAGCCAGTGAACATGTTTATCCTTAAGAGCTAAATACAAAAGAATTTGAAATTCGATGCAGAGTCGAATTTGAAATTCGACTTCCTTTAGAAGTCGTTTAACTGGAAAGGAAACAGAGGCTGGGAGGCATTTGAATGGAAAACAAAGCTTTAAGTCAACATATTTGCTATCTCTAATGGTGGAATTTCAGGCAGTAGACTGGAAGTGGGAATGGGGAACTGGGTAGCAATGTTGGGGAACCGTCACTGAAATGACAGTATCTAGCATCTGTCAGCAATGTTTGCTGCTGGGGCAGAAATGCCATTGGAGTGTGTGTCTGTGTAACAGTCCAGGGGTTCCTGGCACTGGAAGGTATCTGTGGTGCACCCAGTATCCACTTGGGGGAGGTGAAACTTTGCTATAGAGAGTTATTCAGTGGTACTGGCTGCCATCTGCATGGCCAGTTACTGAGCCACAAGAAGTGTGTTGTTGCTTACAAAGCCAGTGCTTTGCCTAGTTCTGAACACTGAGCCTCTGGTGGGGGGGCATTAGCTGTCAGCTCACTAAGCTTCGTTACTATATTTCCTGGTAAGTTCTGACCAGTTCTGTAGGCACCCAAGCCTGCCTTGTTTAGTCTCTGCTGAAAGTAGAAACTGAAAAACTTGCTTTAGCCATTAGGCCAAGAATGGGGTATACGATCCAAGAGGGTTCAAGAGTTTTTTCTCGAATCAAATCAGAGGCTGGCCCAGAGAAGGAAGTAGGCATGAATTTAAAATCTGGAAAAGGGGGGATCCCTGGGTGGCGCAGCAGTTTAGCGTCTGCCTTTGGCCCAGGGTGCGATCCTGGGGACCTGGGATCGAATCCCGCGTCGGGCTCCCGGTGCATGGAGCCTGCTTCTCCCTCTGCCTGTGTCTCTGCCTCTCTCTCTCTCTCTCTGTGCCTATCATAAATAAATAAAATTAAAAAAATATATATATATATATCATTTAAAAAATAAAATAAAAATAAAATAAAATCCGGAAAAGGGCCCCAGGAGAACACTACATGTACCCTCTGATAAATTGTGCCCTCTTGGGTGTTCAGTGGGCCGCCGCTGCTGTCACTGACCAGCAAGCTGAATGAGGTGATGAATAGGCAATGAGCTAATTAGCATTGGAAACAGCGCTCCTGGAAAACAGTACAGGGCTCCAGTCCCTACATTTGAGAATCGGCCTACACTCTCAAAGAGGTTCCTTTTGGCTGCTGTTGGCCCCAGGGTTCTACCAAGAGCTTCACAAAATGGCCTTTTGTAGCCTCCATGTGGCCACCATAACAATGCATCTATTTCTTTACTAGCAAGTATTAATTATTCACTCGTAGTTGACGAAACAAGACATCAGTCACCTCATTGGAGTCTTTGTAACAGGCCTTTGGTCTTGTCCTTCTAAGGAGCAAACCCATGTCTAGGGCATAGAGGATAGACCCTGCCTTGGTAGTAGAGCATGTTGCTGGGCAGTGACTGGGAGGTCAGTGGTAGTGGGGAAGGAGCTGGTATTCAATACTGGATGCTCTAATTGAATGAGGGATGCATGAACATGTTAAGCAGAATGTCTAGCACATAATGAAGTGCTATTATATTTATATATTTATTGTTTTAGTGCATTAATTGTATAATCATTAAGAATACGGTTCATGTGTGTAGTCAACCCATAGCCCTTCCCAACCCTACCTCCAGAGGCTTCCTGGATTTTGCTTTTCCCAGGGGAGTTGGCTCTGTGACCAAGAAACCTAGCCCCTGCAGGTTTACCTGCAAAAGTTAACCAAAAGAGTGGTAAGATGTAGTATCAGTAAGGGCTTCAGGTCGGAAGTGCTCTTGAGTAGCTCCCTGAAGGTGGGTATAACTTGAGTAGGCAGAAAGAAGGGGAGGGAATATACTGAGCAGAAGCCCAGAGGTAGTTCTCATATTTCAACACACAAACAGAGGTCAGGAAGGAACTTTCCTCCTGTGTGCATTTTAGCATTTTGCAACCAGCCAAAAATGTTAAGGGCATGCTTCACTTCCCAGGCAGACAGAGCAGAGCAGTGGCCTTCGGACACAGGATTTATCCTTGACTTGCCATGTGCCTTTAAATCCTCCACTACCTCTCTGACTTTAAAAATTAGCCCAGGGAAAGCAGCTTGCCCTGCTTGTTACCTACCTGTTGCCACAGGAGCCTGCAGATGAGATAATGTCTATAAATCCCAGTCTTAGAAGAAAGGCCGTGGAAACAGGGAAGAGAAAGAGGTTTCTGAATGTGTGGCTCTTTTGGATGACTGCCCTTTATTCCTAAAGGAACAATTTATTAATTATATATTGTGTGTCAATTTAAGAAGACAAATCTGTGGCCTCTCTGTAACATTGAGCCAAAGGGAAACTGAAAGGCACTTTGTGATTCCCAGATTCTGTCAAGGCCCCTGGATGGCCTTGTCTGTACAAAGACACTTCAGATTTCAGTTGGTGGGTGTGGGACGCCTCCCAGGATGCAGAGTTTGGATATTGGCTTCCTGGCCATGGCCATTATGCCAAGGGCTGTGTGTGGTGTGCCTCAAAGGATGACCATTCAAGCCATACTTCTTGGGCCCTGGCAGCAGAGGAAGATTCTTGAAAGGAATTGTTTTCAGAATTCTTACAGGGACCATTATGGCCGAGTGGCATTTTTGAGAGACTTCCAGCAACTCAGAAATAGTGCAAGGAGAAAGGAAAGTAAACATGACCTTATGGAGAGATACCCAAGAAGGAGACCCAGTGATGACTTCATCAATAGGCCTTTTGATTCTGTGTTTGCATCATCATTAGGTCATCTTAGAGCAGTGGTTCTCAGACTTTAATCTCTTCGTAGGATCGAAGGAGGTTAGTATGTCCATGTTGTATGGTCTCTGTCTTCTAAATAAGGGAGGAGATGAGGTCCTCCACAGAAAGTAAAGGTGGTGGACTGGTTAGGAGAGTTCAGGAGACTTCCGGAGGTTTGGAACAGCTGCCCCTGTGGGTGGAATAAGAAATCAACTGGGGGATGAATGAGAAGATTGTTTATCTTTTCTGAGACCAAAGAATCTGTAGGGCTGACCCTCATAGAAGACACTCAGTAACTCAGTGTTAAGTGAAGGGATACCTGAGAAAGATAGTCAATGTGTGCTTTTAAATTGTATTGCCTTAAGACATATTTTGGCAAGGTGTGAATGGCAAGAAAAGAAATCAGGACTAGGGGTCAGTCACCAGCCTTCCTTCAAGTATGTTATACCTTCATGTGGGAAAGAGAAATAAGGACCTGTGTCTTATGGGTTAAGGTGGAAACTACATGACAGAATTTTCTAAAGAAGTCTCTTCAAAGTCTTCATAGTAGGAAGGTTGACTTAGATATGATACCTTAGAGGACCACAATATTTTAAATTAAATTTTTTTTTTACCAGAAGATAGGCATTTTGGGCCGTTGGCTTATGCATTCAGCAAGTTGTTCATATCGTGCTTATTAAGTAAATAAAATGTGCCTAACATGTGCTCAGATCTATACTAA